TCAGCTCAAGGCAAGTGCTCTACCACTTGAGCCACAGTGTCACTTCTGGTTTTCTAGTGGTTTATTGGAGATAAGAATCTCACAGGCTGGGCACAGGCGACTCACACCTGTAATCCTAGCTACTCAGGAGGCTGAGATCTGAAGGTTGAGGTTCAAAGCCAGCCTGGGCAGGAAAGTCCATGAGACTGTTACCTCCAATAAACCACTAGAAAACTGGAAGTGGCACTGTGGTTCAAGCGGTAGAGCACTTGCCCTGAGCTGAAGAGCTCAGGGACAGCGCCCAAGCCCAGAGTTCAAGCCCCATGACTGACCAAAAAAAAAAATAGAATCTCACAGACTTTTCTGCCTGGGCTGGCTTTGAACCATAATCCTCAGATCTCAGCCTCCTGAGTAGCTAGGATTACAGGTGTGAGCCACTGGCACCTAGCAAAAATTTATGATTCTTAATACCATGAATGGACACAATTAAGGTGAGTGAGCAGCCATCTGTGTGTGGTTGGTACTCCACCAGTAATGATGGTCCACTGCCACACAGAAAAAGGAAATGAGTTGTCTTTAAAGCCCCTGGACTGTTTTTATCTGAAGAAACATGCTATTAATCTCATGATTTATTCTTTATGCTTACTAGCTATCTCTTAGGGATGGCATGGAACTGCCTAACGCATGGGTCATTAGAGTGGAATTACAGTTTTCTACATTTAAAAGTCTGAAGGTAAGATTAAGGGAATAAATCTGCTGTAAGACTTGAACAGAGTCCTAACCCAGGAGACTGAGTTCTGAGGATCGCAGTTTGAAGCCAGCCCGAGCAGCAAGGCCAAGGTGCTTCAGTTAACTAGCAAAAAACCAGAAGTGGAGGTGTGGCTCATAGTAGAGCACTAGCCTTAGGCAAAAAAGCTTAAGGACAGTGCCCAGGCACTGAGTGCAAGCCCCAGACCTTTAACACAAACACGTACACAAATGCATGTGCACACATGCACACAACACAATTTGGACAGAGCAGGGTTGCTCATGTAGCTTCATTATGTGAATACTGCATCCTGCGCATGAGGTCATGGCTTGATCTCTAGCATTAACCCCAGCCCTGGCATTCCACAGAATTGCAGTAGCTGAAGATACATCCAGGGATTGTACAGAAGCCAACTGAAAACCCAGTGCCAGTCATAGAGAGGCACCACAGCCTTAGAAAACTCAAAGCCGGCGCTGGTGGCTCACGCCTGTAATCCTACCTACTCAGGAGGCTGAGAGCTGAGGATCATGGTTCAAAGCCAGCCTGGGCAGGAAAAGTCCATGAGACCCTTATCTCCAATAAACGACTCAAAACCGGAAGTGGTGCGGTGGCTCAAGTGGTGGAGCGCTAACCTTGAGCTGAAGAGCTGAGGAACAATGCCCAGGCCCAGAGTTCAAGCCCCTGACCAAAAGAAAAAGAAGAAAAAAAAACTTCTCAAGATGGATTGGGATTGAGAAGGATTTAATCAACTGAGCACAAAAATTAGCAGGCATTTGTTTCTGGATTAGTAACTGTGACAATGCTCTTTTGCTCAATGTTATCATATGCGGTAATAATTGGAATTGAACTCAGATAAATCTGATGCCATTATAGCATTTTTTTCTGGCACAGTCTTCTGAACTGGATTGCTTATGTAATTAATCTTGGCCTTGCTATTTACTTTCTGTGTGAATTGAGTTGAGGTCTCCCTCAATTTCCCCATCTGTCAAACACAATACTAACTGCTAATAATCATATAATTTTATTCATAGTAATAGTTAATAACAGTATACCTAACTTGCAGAGTGTAAGTATCTAATTGGCTAATGTACCAAAAGCACTTAGAACTATCTTTTTTTTAAAATGCTGGTGCTGGGGCTTGAACTAGTAACCCCATGCTCTGCTTGGCTCTTGGGGGTGGCACTCTACCACTTGAGCTGTAGCTCCACTCTGGGTTTTAGGTGATTAATAGGAGATACGAGTCTCATGGGCTTTCCTGTCTGGGCTGGCTTCAAAACATGATCCTCAGATCTCAGCCTTGGGAGTAGCCAGGATTACAGGCATGAGTCCAGCAAGAACTGTCCTTAACAGTAGTCAATAGCTTCTGGGACTACTAGACTTTGGAAAGTTGGCAAAGGGAGAAATAGGAATATCAACAAGATGGTTATGTTTACCAACCATTTACCTTTTAGAGTGGAAGGGTGGCATTCTGGGTCAGATTTTGAATACAAATTCCTCATCTTTTTTTTTATTTTAAGTTTGGTGCCAGTACTGGGCCTCGAACCCAGGGCCTTGTCTCTTACTGGCTTTTTCTACTCAAGGTTGATGTTCTTCCACTTGAGCCACACCTCCACTTCCAAATTCCACATTTCTTAGATATAAAGCAGAAATGATACCTTTGAAAGTATCTGTTTAACCTTGCTTCAGTGTTTTAAGATTTCTCCAAGGGATGGTACTTTTTCCTCGGCCCAAATCCTGACTTCCTCTGTCCTGGTTGATATTGACCCTGCTGCTTACCGCAGCGTCCCAAGACCAGGGCAACTACACAGAAGCAAAGAAAGAAGAGCAAGGCACACCAGGCCAGGGGAGCCAGCCACGGCTTCGGAGTCACCTGTGGGTCCCCCCAGGTCTGGTTCTCATTCTCAGATGTGTGGTTCCTGCCATCAGATCCCTTTGTTCTGTTCAATGATTGTTTGCTGATGTTAGATCGTGAAGGAACCGGCATATGGGAAAGCCTTGTGTCTCTGGGCACAAAGAAAGGCGAGATGGTCTTGTTATCTGGGTTGCTGACAGAGTCAGAACTTGGTGGTGACAGCATATTTACCTTGGGGGTAATGAACTCCTTCAGAGAACTGTATTTGGCCCCAGAATCTGTGGTGAGTTCCTGGGGACTACCAGTATCCTCTGTGTTTGCAACCAAACCTTCCTGTGTGGTTGCTGATGGATTTTCTATTAATGGCAGAAAATAGCTCGGCCTAGTAGTTGGTTGGTGATGTAAATTCATAGTTTTTAAGAACCTTAATCTGTCCCTTCCATCAGATGAAGAACGAGTGTTTAGATAGGTGGAAGGTGACTGCTCGAAAACCATCAAGTCTGGATCTTTACCTGAAAGATAAATAAAATACCACTGATTTGATTTTTGAAGGTTTTTTTTTTAACTGTATTTTTTTTGTCTTTTCTTTTTTGGTACTGGGGATCGAACCCAGGATGTTGCGCTTGCTAGGCAAGCGCTTTGCCACTGAGCTACATCCCAGCCCTGATTTTTGAAGGTTTTTGTGTGCATATGTTGGGTGCCAGTCATGGGTCTTGAACTCAGGGCCTGGACACTGTCCCTGAGTTTCTCTGACTCAAGGCTGGTGCTCTACCACTTGAGCCACAGCTCCACTTCCAGCTTCTTGGTAGAACGGTGATCCTCCTATCTCAGCCTCCTGAATAGCTAGGATTACAAGTGTGAGTCAACCAGTGCTTGGCTCATTTCAATTTTTAATACCAAAATAGCTTTAAGGCACAGTTTGGAGAAATGTTGAGTTTTCAACATTTGAACAAGGTTGAAAATGTGCCACTGTGAACTTCTGAAGGGCATACACAGAGCACTGGGTGTATTCCATGTATCAAAATGCTGGAAGTCTCTCTGCTGGGAGCATGTTTGTCTATACCACAAGCAGGCCTTTCATGTTCAAGTGCTACTGAACAGCAGTGGGTGTTTGTGTGAGAAATGGAAACATAGTGAGGTGCTCTAGAACATTTTCAAATAGAACAAAATAAGCCGGGGTGCTGGTGGCTTTGTGCCTGGAATCTTAGCTACTCAGGGGGCTGAGATCTGAGGGTTGAGGTTCAAAGCCAGCCCAGGCAGAAAAGTCTGTGAGACTCTTACCTCCAGTTAACCACTAAAAAGCTGAAAGTGGAGCTGTGGCTCAAGTGGTAGAGCAAAAGAGCTCAGGGACAGTGCCTAGGCCCTGAGTTAAGACTGGCAAAAATAAAAATATAATAAAATAAGGACCTGAGTAGGGGAGTGATTCAAAAATAACAATCCCTGAGGTGCTCTGCTCTGCTTTACTCTTTTCTCTTTGTATACTAACTCCTTTTCCTCTGACTTAAGACATCTTTAAACAATGGCAAGATTAAAACAAGAGCCCTCCCATTGTTCCTGCTAGCAACCCCATTCTCTCTCTCCATTTCTTTTCTGACTATCTCTGTCATCTTACTCTACTCCTCACCATTCTGTTAAAATCTGGTTCTTCTCCCTGGCACTAGTGGCTTATATCTGTAGTCCTTGAGATCTGAGGATCTAGGTTCAAAGCCAGCCCAGGCAAAAACGTCTGTGAGACTCTTACTTCCAATGAACCACCAAACTGCTAGAAGTAGAAGTGTAGTTCAAGTAGTAGAGTGTCAGACTTGAGCAAAAAGGCCAAAAAAGGGGTTAGAGTTATGGCTGAGGTGGTAAGGTGCCTGCCAGTGAGCACAAAGTGTCAGATGTGTATACATATCTATGGATATATTTATATACAAATATACCTATTTATATATCTTTCAATTATATGTAAGGATATATATAACTTTATATATAAAAGATCTACTTATCTATTTGATAGTTCCTTGAGCAGTTTTCTACCTTGTAGCCCTGAACATTTTCCTAGATTAAGGCAATCCAGTTCATCACTTTAACTGTCTTGTTTCCACATTTGTTGAGATAGGTCTCTCTGTATAGTCCAGGTTGGCCTTAAACTCACAATCCTCTTCCCTTGGCCTCCTGAGTGCTGGGATTAAAGGCAGGAGCCATCACACTTGGCTTGATTCCCTAAGTGCTGACAAAGTCATCCCAAAAGAATCCACACCTTTCACATGGATGCCCAGCCCTGTTCTCTCTAGGTCAGCTTTATTTTCCAGTCCAACTTCTCAAGGTAGCAGGCAGATTTTCTCATGTTCCTGCAGGAAGACAGAACTTCCCCTGGGTAAAGTTCACCAAAAGGATAACACCACGTGGTTCAGGCAGAAAAGAGTTTATTGGGGAGAGAGCAAACTGCCATCCCACACAAGATGGCGGCATGCAAAGAGGAGAGAGGGAAGAAGAAGGGAAGAAGAGAGGAAACGTGGGTGAGTGGAATTCTATAGGGAAAGGTGGGAGGTGTGACCACAGCGGATGTGGAAGTGATCACAGAGCCTGGGAACCCTCTGGTTCAGGAAGTGACCTCAGAGCCTAGGGTCCTTTGCTCACCCACAGTCAGGTGATTGACAGGTGAATACTGCTTTCACGCAGGTGATTTCTGGTCCTTTGCTCATTCACAGTCAGGTGATTGACAGTCAGGTGAATACTGCTTTCAGGCAGGTGATTTCTGGTATGGCTACCTGCTATCTTTCACTAAGAGGAAGTGGGGCTGTTCTCCTGGGCAGGCCTAACCCCTCTACATCCTTGTGGACCACTCTGTCCTCACAGACCCCCTCTAAGTCCCAGGCAATCCCTCTACATCCCAGGGAAACCCTCTAGGTTCCCTCTTGAAGGCTAGCCATTCTGGACTTGAAACCAATTTCAAATCAAAAGAAACATCCACTTAGAAATCTGGCTTGTAGCAGTCTCTCCCCCTCCCTCCTTCCCTCTCCCCTATCTCTCTGTCTCTTCCTCCCCCTCCTCCCTCCCTCCCTCCCTCCAAACTGGAGATGATTTGCCTTTGGATCACGTCCATACCAGCCAACAGCCCTTTGGCTCGTGCCCTTTAGAAGTAAGATGCAGGCTGAGTCCTGGGGACCCCCTCTCCTCCCTCTAGTTCCCCCCTGAAGGCTTGTCCTGGGCTTGAATTCTCCTAGCTAAAGCCGTCTGTCTCTCCTCAAGAGCACCCACACTGTTAAAAAAGAGTGTGCCCCTGCCTTTCCCTTCCTTCTGCTTGTCTGTCTGCTTTGTGTTTGTTTGCTTGCCTACTTCATAAAGCTCTGCCAAATTTTCTTAGCATCGTGGCTTGTCCAGAAATTCACCATCTTGGCCACATGGTGGGTTAAGGGTTTAACCTTGCCCAGCCCCTACTCTTCCACCAAGCTTACTCTTCCACCCATCCAGGAAATATTCTATGATTAACTCATATGCTAATGTGCCTTCTAACAAAGTTGTTACCTCTCTTCACAGGCACTGGAAACAGGGTTCCTCCATCTAATTGCTGGCAAAGATGCCTAAACATATTCTGTTCTTGCTTATTTAGGTCTTGGTTATCTGTAAGAGATTCTGTCTGTTGTTAGCAAAAGTTTTGTGTCTTGTTTTGCCTTGTATTTTGTTTGATGTTCCCTGTTTTTCTAGCATTGACCATGTGGTTCTAGCATGCAGTGGGCAAAAATGTCTTTTGCCACTGGAATTCCAGAAAACCTATGGCCAGTTTCCTAGCCTCTTCATCTCCCCCCAAGAAACTAGCCCCCACCAGTACTCCTTCTTACAGTATTTGTGTGTGTGTGTGTGTGTGTGTTTGTGTGTGCACGCGCGTGTGCGCACGCGCGCCAGTCCTGGAGCTTGAACTCAGGACCTCATGTTCTTTTTTAGCTTTTGTGCTAAAGGTTGGTGCTCTACCACTTGGGCCATATCTCTACTTCTATCTCTTTGCTATATATATACATATATATATGTATAGATAGAGAGATCTATAATGATCTATATATTGATAATCTATACTTATATAGGTCTATATCTAATTGGCTTTTTGCCTTGATCCTCAGATCTCAGCCTCTAGAGTAGCTAAGATCACCAGTGGAATCATATAAATGACCAAGGCCTGTTGCTTTGAGACCAATGAAATGAGATGCTGATACATGTTCACAGTGGTCCCTGCCTTTCATCTTTGTACTTATATGCAATGCCCATAGACAGTTGACATTTACTTTTGGCTTTGCCCCTTACCCTTTTTGGGAGCAGGATCTTTCTCTGTACCTCAGACTGGCTACAACTCAAAATCCTCCAAACCACAGACGCCCTGGTGAATCTCGCTGGAATTATAGGCATGCACCACTACACCTGGCTTTATAATTCTTTTTGTTGTTGTTACTGTTGGTTATGGGCCATGAACTCAGGGCCTAGGTATTGTCCCTGAGCTTTTTTGCTCAAGGCTAGTGCTCTGCCACCTGAGCCACAGTTCCAATTCCAGTTTTTGAGTGGTTAACTGGTGATAAGAATCTCACAGGCTTTCCTGCCCAGGCTGGCTCTGAATGGCAGTTCTTAGATCTCAGCCTCTTGAGTAGCTAGGATTACAGGTGTAAGGCACCAGCACCTGGCTTTATAATTCTTTTTATTGTTCTAGTGACATATTCATTCAGTTCAAGTACCTACTTTAGGTTTTGTTGAGGGCTCCTGAAATAAAGCACTTAAGTTCTTGTAAGGTTTATCATCTGGAGTGAACTTCTCATAGTTGAATTTGCCAAGCCAAAAGGAATTTCCTTGCCACTTTTTCACACAGAGGGCACTGAATGACTTAGGGATTGATAGCTGTGTGACAGTTGCCAGCCACTTTGCAGGCTATCCTCCTCTACTAGAGTATTATCAACACCTTAAAACATCTTGAATATAAGCCAGGCGCTGGTGGCTCACACCTGTAATCCTAGCTACTTAGGAGGCTGAGATCTGAGGATCACAATTCATAGCCAGCTCAGCCAGGAAAGTCTATCAAGACTCTTATCTCCAGAAAGCCACCTGAAAACTGGCTCAAAGTGGTAAATAAAATGCTAGCCTTGAGCAAAAAGAGCTAATAGGGTCATCACCCAGGCCATGAGTTCAAGCTTCAGAACCAGCACACACACACACACACACACAGAGTCTTGAAATACTGATCTATTACCATCTGTTATGTTGTACAAGATAGCGCTGGTTCCAGGTTTTAATATGCAGCTCTCTAGTGTTGGGCAGTGGATGTGGAGACAATTGACGTTGTCATGAATTGGGTCATAGAAGAAGACTGCCAAATTACAGGACACTGAAAAAAAAAACAAGAATAGGCAAAGTATATCAGGTGGTCTTGATTTCTACCAGTTTTTGTCTGAGGATCTGGCTATCTAACACAGGCTGGCGTCAATCTCCTCTTTGCTTAGCCTCCCAAATACTGGGATTATAGGCATATGCCACCACACTCAGCCCCACTATTAGTGTGATGACAGCTGTAATTACTTCTCTTTCAGGAACATTGGATTAACACTACATTGTACAACTCCATTTAGACCTATGACCAAACCCTTTGCACTATCATTTTTTTCTTTTTCTTTGGCAGTACTGGGGTTTGAAGTCAGGGCCTTGTGTTTGCTAGGCAGGTGCTCTGTCACTTAAGCCATGTCCCTCGTTCTCATATTGCTTTTTTTGTGTGCAGTTATGAGGACTGTTAGGAGCTTGAACTTGGGGCCTCTCGCTCTTGCTTGGCTTTTTCTGTCCAAAGCTGGCATTTCACCTGCCACTTGAGCCACAATTCCACTTCCTGCTTTGTGCTGGTTAATTTGAGATAAGAGACTTTTCTACCTGGACTGGCTCTGAACCTCAATTTTCAGATCTTAGACTCCTGAGTAGCTAGGATTATAGGTGTGAGTCACCAGTACCTAGCTTTGATAATATTTTAAAAGAAAACACTTGTCTTTCTCTTTCCACAAAGGATACCGTGAGTCATTATTTTGTAGTGTTATGTTCATGAAAACTTGAACTGACTGTGAAAATTTCTGGGTTTTGTACAGTAAGCATACCTTATTTATTTGTAGTGTTGACCAAGCCTGGCCAAAAATAATAAATTAGAAAACAAATTTCAAAAATAATTTTAAGGGGCTAGGAAGGTGGCTCAGTGGTAGAATGCTTGCCTTGCATGCATGAGGCCCTGGGTTCAATTCCTCAGCACCACATAAGCAGAAAAAGCTGGAAGTGGTGCTGTGGCTCAAATGGTAGAGCACTAGCCTTGAGCTGAAGAGCTGAGGGCTAGCACACAGGCCTAGAGTTCAGGCCCCATGACTGACCAAAAAATAATAATAATTTTAAGTTCTCCATATACATTCTATACCTCTGTTGGTGTAGAAAAGCTCTCAGTTAATCTCATTTTAGTGTTAGATATATTTAAATTGTTTGATCTAGCTGCATACTGGAGCCCCACCTGTAATCCTGGCTATCAGGAGATCTGAGGATTATGGTTCAAAGCCAGCCCAGGAAGGAAAGTCTGTGAGCTTCTTATTTCCAATTAACCAGGAAAAATACATAAGTGGGGCTGTAACTCAAGTGATATAGCACCAGCTGTGTCCAGGCCCTGAGTTCAAACCCTAGGACTAGCACAAAGTAAAAAAAAAAAGATACTACTAACCTTTAAATGGTACTTTAAAGAGCTAATTATTATAAACATTTTTGAAATCTGGTTATAAAAAAATATTTTCAACCCTGAAGGAAATATGTTCTTTTAGCACTTAAAAACTCACACCAGGGCTGGGAAGGTGGCTCAAGTGGTAGAGTGCCTTAAGCTAAAGAGCTCAGGGACAGCACCCAGGCCCAGAGTTCAGGCCCCATGATGGACAAACACACACACACACACACACACACACAGAGCCAGCCAAGCACCAGTGGCTCACGCCTATCCTAGCTACTCAGGAGGCTGAGATCTGTGGATCATGGTTCAAAGCCAGCCGGGCAGAAAAAGCCATGAAACTCATCTCCAGAAACCACCAGAAAACCAAAGTGGCACTGTAGCTAAAGTGACAGGGTGCAAGCCTTAAGCTGAAGAGCTGAGGGACAGGGCTCAGACCCAGAGTTCAGACCCCATGACCGACCAAAAAACAAACAAAAACATGCACACAGAAAGAAAAAAGGATTGGGAGCCAAGCATTAGTAGCTCACAGCGGTTACCCTAGCTACTCAAGAGATGGGAGGAACATGGTTTGAAGCCAGCCCAGGCAGAGAAATCCATGAGAGTCTGAACTCCAATTAACCAGCAAGAAACTGAACTGGGGCTTGGTTCGAGTGATAAGCCTTGAGTACAAAAGCCCAGGAACAACGCCTAGCCCCTGAGTTCAAGCCCTAGGATGAGCACAAACAAACAGAACAAAACAAAAAATCCCAGTTTGAAGCCAGTCAGGACAGATAAGCGCAAGACTCTTCTCTCCAATTAATCAGCAAAAAGCTAGAAGTGGAGGTGTGGTTCAAGTGGTAGAAAAAGCCAAGTGAGTGTACTAGGCCCTGAGTTTAAGCCCTAGTACTGGTCACAAAGAGTAAAAAGGAAAGGAGGGAAGGAAGGAGGGAGGAAGCAAGCAAGCAGGCAGGCAGGAAGGCTGTTTCCAGCAGTCCAGATCGTGTAGCATTCTGAAACATCTATTTGTCAACAGAGCTTGCTGTGGCCATGCTGCAGAGGCAATCTCTGCCTCTCAGTGTCCCTCAATCTCTGCTCTTCTCTTGTATCCTCTCCTCCCCTCCCTTTCCCCCTTCATCCTCTCTCTTCTCCCTGTGTCTCTCTGACTCTCCTTCCCTCCCTCCGCTAGGTCCCATCACGGCGCATCTCTTCTCCCCCTTTCGTCCTCTCTCTGCCCTGGTCTTGGGCCTGGGCTCCTTACCTCGGCCTTGAGTCTTGGGAGGCCCTGCCCTGACTTTTTACCACTTACCATCCTTCCTGAGACAGCAGCTGCGGCCACACTTCTGACCGGTGCTCTCAGAGTAATACTTCAAGAACTGGGCTCCCAGCTTCTGAGACTCTTCCAGGTCGACGAGGAGCCCCGGGAATCGGCGGATCCAGCAGTCTCTGAAGAAGATGGTGGGCGAGCAGAGGGTGTGTGCGGCGGGGCCCCTGCTGAGGAGCAGCAGCGCAGCCAGCGTCAGCGCCTTGGCCGCCCGCCCGCATGGCCCGCACAGAGACAGCACGACCTCCAGAGGGGTGCAGGAGCCCACCATTGGGGTGCAGGATTTAGGAATCTGCAGATCTTCAGGCTGTTGCTAGGGTGAGGCTCTTTGGGACGTTTCCAGAGTCACCTATGTTGATTTTTCTTTCCTCACAGTGGCACCCAAGGTAAGCAGCACACTGTTGCTTTCTGTTCTGAACACTTTTCAAACGGCTTCAGTGCCTTTCCCTCGAGCTTTTAAAGATGCCGATCCTCTCCTCTGGCTTTTCTTCTTTCTCTGAAATAAAGAGTCACAGACACCTCTTAGTAAAGCAAATAGAAAAACAAGAAGAAACCCTACCCAGGAGTCTTGCTGAGGAAAACAAGTTCGTCACCAAACATCTGATAAAGGAAGGATCTAGTTCACCAAAAACAAGATGTTGTTTTGTGGAGTATTCTGCATTGTTTTAAAGGATCTAAACATAACTTAGTTCTTTATTTCTTTGATTCTAAGTTCTGGTGTTCAAGTTCACTAGGGAACTATTTGCACTCTCGTTATATTTTTGATATTTTTATCTCAAAACAACTTGAAAGTGAAAATGAGAGAAAGTTTAAAGTTTTAGTTTTATAGAGATTGCTAAATCATTGATTGATCATAGATTCTGGTCACTTTTCCAGTGCTGTTCCTGGGGCTTGGACTCAGGGCCTGGGTACTGTCCCTGAGCTTCTTTTGCTCAAGGCTCTCTATCACTTAAGTCACAGCTCTACTTCAGGCTTTTTTTTTTTGGTAGGTTAATGGAGGTAAGAGTCTCAAGGACTTTCCTGCCCAGGCTGGCTTTGAAATGTGATTCTCAGATCTCAGCCTCCTGAGTAGCTAGGATTACAGGTGTGAGCCACCAGCACCTGGCTTCCTTCCAGTCTTTTAGACACATGGAATATGTTTCTTTTGTGTGATGTGTAATTCTTAGAAATTCTCACAGTCCATGCAGGGAAAGTGTAACTCTCCATTATTGTTTAACCCTTTGGCGGCCAAATGATTCTTAAATGAAAGCCATTGTTTCATAAGTAAAAGCTTGCCTTCAAATGTGCCAAACAGAGCTGGGTGCTGGTGCCTATTCCTGAAATCATAGCTGTCAAGAGTTTGAGATCTGAGGATGGCAGTGTGAAACAGTCTAGGCAGAAAAATTCTGTGACATTCTAATCTCCAATAAACTACCAAAAAGCTCAAGTGGAGCTGTGGCTCAAGTGGTAGAGTTCCAGCCTTGAGTGGAAAAGCTAAGCAAGAGTGTCGAGGTTCCAAGTTCAAGCCCCAGTATCAGCATTGCTGGACGCTGGTGGTTCATACCTGCAATCCTAGCTTCTAAAGAGGCTGAGATCTGAGGACCACGGTTCAAAGCCAGCCTGGGCAGGAAAGTCCAAGAGACTCATATCTCCAATTAACCATCAGAAAACCAGAAGTGGCACTGTGTCTCAAGGGTTAGAGCACTTGCCTTGAGCTGAAAAGCTCAGGAACAGGACCCAATTCCAGGGTTCAAGCCCCTCCACACACACACACAAAGTTAGCAGATAGCCTTTCTTACAAATCCTGTCAGTTACCCAGAATGACTGTACTATTGTAATATAGTGATGCTTTATATTTATATTTCTAGTAGGGTACTATGAGAAATTCAAAATGAAATTACCCTCTTAAAACCACTTATCTACTGAAACAGATAAGAATATGGGGAATGTGGATTAAAATATGCAGTTGTGTGGCGAGCAGGATTGTTTAGTCTGTTTTTATGCGAGTTTTGGAGCTTGAACTCAGGGCCCACATATGGTTCTTTAGCTTTCTGCTCAAGGCAAATTAACCAGCAGTTAACCAGCAAGAACCCGATTAATTGGAAATAAGAGTCTCACAGACTTTTCTGCCAGGATTGGCTTTGAACCACAATCCTTAGATCTCAGCCTCCTGAGGAGTTGGGATTATAGGTGTAAACCGCAATGTGCTTTCTTTATTTTGGTTTTTTGTACAACAGTGATATAAATTTCTTGAAGTGAACCAGAGTTCCATGATCACTCGATAATAGGATACAGATTGATTCAATTTACCTTATTTCATAGAACAGTGTTTTCTTGAAGCCTTTGCATAATATTTTAGGTCTTTTATAAAGAAAGGAATTTATACTGGCTCTGATTTTGCATTTCCAGCCTAACAGAAAACTTACTGTGTGAGGTATTTAGATGATTTGATCTTTTTAGATGTTCTCAGTCTTCAATGATGTTATTGTTATGTCAAAGGCAAAAAAAAAAAAGCTCCTAGGACCAGTGCCCAGAATTGTCAGACTAAGACCAGATTTCCAGGCCAGGCGATCTTGCCCTGATATTATTACTGTGCTCGCATTGCTTTTCCAGGACACATCTTTCATTGAACGGGATTTTGTTTTTGGTCTATTTCAAAAGGCCAGAAAATACCAGTCTGAAGCATACCTGTGGCTGATGGGAAACAAAAGCATCCATTGGTGTAGGATTCTAAAGAGGCTGAGGAGAGACTGAGAGCCTGTTCATCCTGACTGACCCGCTGAGTCCTGCACTGTAGCACATCAACTGCACAGCCAACTGCTCTGACACTGGGTCTTCCAGCAGGTCCTCTAGCTGACTGCCTAATCCTTGATCCAAGTGGTATTTCTGCAGAGAAGGCTACATCCTTGACCTCTCACCTGTCCTCATGGGTCCACACCTGCTCTTGCTCCCCCACCAAAAACAACACTGTCCCACCACTCTGTCGGGGGATGGAGGGTGAGAGGCCCTTGTGGGAACAGATGAAGTCTTACTAGTAATGACATAAACAATTAATTCATTGATTTTTAAAAATTACCTTGAGTCAGTTTCCCATTCAACATGTCAATTTATGAGTACATCTTTATTTTATATTATTATTTTTTAAATGATATCTAGTCTGACAAGGGGGTTTCTATTCAACATGTCAGTTTATAAGTACAATGTATCTTTATTTTATATTATTATTCTGTGTGTGTGTGTGTGTGTGCACGCGTGCGCGCGTGTGCCTTCCCTGGGACTTCAAGTCAGGGCCCCTTAGTTTCATTTGGCTTTTTTGCTCCAAGTTGGTGCTGAAACCACTTGAGTCACACCTCCACTTCCAGCTTTTTGCTGGTTAATTGGAGATAGGGATCTCACTGTCTTTCCTGCTCAGGCTGGCTTTGAACCATGATCCTCAGATCTAAGCCTCCTGAGTAGCTAGGATGACAGCATGAGCCACCAGCACCCAGCCTATATTATTAATTAATTCATTAATTAATGTTTGTGGGTCATGGGGCTTGAACTTAGGGCCTAGGTACTGTCCTGAGCTCTTTTGCTCAAGGCTAGCACTCTACCACTTGAGCCACAGCGCCACTTCTGATATTCTGGTGGTTAATTGGAGATAAGAGTCTCACAGACTTTCCTGCCTGGGCTTGCTTTGAACCGGGATCCTGAGATCTGTCTTCAGAGTGGATGGAATTACAGGTAGGAGCCACCAGCCTTATTATTATTGATTATCCTTAGTTGTACAAAGGGTTTTTAAGTCAACAAATTACCTTAGTTGTACAAAGGGTTTTTAAGTCAACAAATCAGTTTGTGAATACAATGTGCAATTTTCAACAATGTGTGGAAAAAACTTCGTGCTTTACCATTTTGACTTTCTCTTCTCTGGGTTTTTAAATCCTCCTAAAACAACAGACTAATGAGCATGGCACAATGTTCTTTGACTTTGAAATAGGGGACAGTATTTTAAGTAGGAAGATTTCATTTAATGTCTTCTCATCCAAGAAGAAAGACGAAGTTTATTTTTTAAAGAAGGATAGGAGGAGGGATGTAGATTGGTAGAGGTAGTGTTTATCATGCATGAAAATCAATATTTGAATTCCAGGTATTATAAACAAATAGTAAAAATATACCTTTTCTCCTAATTGAGCATAATTATACTTGGCTTTTAAATTCTATTCTATAGTCACAAGTTGTGTGTGTTGTGTGTGTGTGCACGTATCCTGTGACTTAATCTCAGAGCTTGGGTGCTTCCCTCTCTCTCAAGGTTGCCACACTACTATTTGAGACACAGCTCTACTTCTGGCTTTTTGCTGATTAATTGGAGATGAGAGTCTCCTGCCCTGGCTGGTTTTGAACTGCAGTCCTCAGGTCTCAGCCTCCTGAGTAGGTAGGATTATAGGTGTGAGCCACTGGTGCTCATCACAATTTAAAGATATTAATTGGTTTATCTTTTATTTTATTTTTTTTGCCAGTCCTGGGGCTTGAACTCAGGGCCTAGGAGCTGTTTCTGAGCTTCTTTTGCTCAAGGCTAGCACTCTACCACTTGAGACACAGTGCCACTTCCGGATTTTTCTCTGTATATGGTTCTGAGGAATTGAGCCCAGGGTTTCGTGCATGCTAGGCAAGCCACATTCCCAGCCCTTGGTTTATGTTTTAAATTCTAGAATCAGGAAACATCTCTTTCTGGTGTCCAGAATTAGGTAAGTAGAGGAGTTTTCTTTTCATAGGTGCAAGGTTAGCTGAAAGGAGAATGCCATGCTGTTGTTCAGGCTAAAAAGTGTATTTAGGGTAACAGAACTGCTGGCCACACCTGATGGAGTGGGGGGTCTAATCATGGAGACTGCTTATATGGTGGGTGGGTGGGGAGGAAGGTGTGGCCACAGAACCTCTCAAGGCCTGAAGGAAGTGTGACCACCGACCACCATGGATGTGGAAATAACCTCAGAACCTGGGAACCTCCCACTGTGCCCAGGTGTGCCAGTTACCTGGGTTACAGGTGCTGGTGGGGACTTCTAGGGAGTTGTGTGCCCAGGGAGAACAAAGGGTAGGGGCCATTTTCCCCAGTGGACCTAATATTAGGTAGAAAAGAGCACAGGGAAACACACAGAACCAAAAGTGGACAGGGGCTGTGACTCCCTACTGTAATTCTACCTACTCAGGAGGCTGAGATCAAAGCAAGGTGGCTTGAAGCCAGCCATAGCAGACACATCTGAGACACATCTCCAATTAAGCAGCAAAAAGCCAGAAGTAGAGCTGTGACTCAAATGGTAGAGCACCAGTCTCGACTGAAAAATCTAAGCAAGAACTTGAGGATTTGAGTTCACACCCTAGTACTGGCACAAAACAAACAAAAAGCCAGAATTCCAAAATGCAGGATTCATTTTGGTTACTTTCTTGGAAAGGTCAAAGCAGAAGGACTTTCTCATCCTACTGACCCCAAGCCCAAAGTCCAGGAGTCCAGAGTTGGGTCTGGCTCCTCACCTCCCTATGCCAAATAAAGACACACGACAAAGGACAGGGAAAGATTTATTACATGGCAGCCATGGGAAGACAGCACTTCAGTCCCAGCGCCCAAGGGGAAGAGGCCCAGTGCCCGAGGAGGCCCAGAATCCCATAGGGAGGAATCCCAGCACCCCTGGGGAGGAGGCCCAGTGCCCATGGGGAGGAGGCCCCAGTGCCCCTGGGGAGGAGGCCCAGTGCCCATGGGGAGGAGGCCCCACACCCTGTACCCCACCAGACCTCTCCAGGTTGCCTCGGGGTGGAAATACGGATGTGGCCAGAACTCTATAGCAGGGCCCCGAGCCGGCTTGCAGCAGCCCAGGCCTTTATGGTTGCCCAGGAAGGAAAAGCAGGGAGGGGCGGGGAAGAAGGGGGAGCCCGAGATCAGCGATCCAGGCGGCACACCCCAGAACCGAGGCGGGAGGGGGCGGGTCAGCGGGGGAGGGGCTGGGAGGGTATGGGGCGGGGATGATGTAAACAAGGCGGAGATGTGGGCGGGGCCAGGCTCGGCGGACCGGACTTATGGGCGGAGGGCGGGACTCAGGCGCGGATGGGCGGGGCACAGGCGGGGAGAGGGGCTCAGGCGTGTAGGGGTGGGCGCAGGGCAGGAGGTCGGGGCTTCGCCGTGTAGGGCGG